GTGTTCGAGTTCAAAACATTTTCATAAAGTGACCAACTCCGGGGCGTCCTTCACTTCTTGCTGCGCTGTTTTTTTTTTCAGCTTGGATCCATGACTCGTGCTTGGCATCAGCTTTCAGGCTAGCAATCCAAGCAGAAGACAGGCTGGACTCCTTCTTGGCCACAAGCGTGAGGTCGACCGTGAAGCTTTGCCAACTGCAGGGCATCAGCCATGACTCCAGCCCCGGCTGTGCGTACACAGACCACTGCAGGAGGAGGCTTGGCTTGCTCCAGTGCGTCCATCGCCACTGTCCATGGCGCAATATCCTTTGCAGCAAGCTTCTGGGTGAGGTCAAGCCTGACCTTGTTGTCTTTGTTTGCCTTCTTCTTTCCTTTTCCCCTCCTTTTGTTCTTGCCGGTCTCATTCTCCACGGTGGTTCTCGGTTTGTCCGCTCAGTCGCCAGACTTCGCCGCGAAGAGTGCGCAGTACGAAGGAAGCTTTGGGGCCGAAGCGCTCACAGTTTCCAAGCCAGTTCCGTGCCTTCTCCGTGAAGTCTTCGACACCACCTCCATTGGAGTTTTTCCTTCAAAGTGCCAATGACACTTTGCTCAAACTTCTGCCTCTTTGCAACAGCTTGCCCTCCTCCAACTCCACCACGCAGAGTGAACCAAGAATTCATCGAGACCTCAGGCTTCAAAATCAGAGTCACTGAGGCTCCCACTTGTGGAGCTCCATGCCTTCTGGGAAGTCAGCCGAGACAGCCGAAGCCCAGGAGTTGAGCGCTCACCACATCATGCCCCTTGCAAGGTGGCGCGTAAAAGCTTACCGCAAATGTCTGTTTCTTTACGTAGACGAAACAATCTTCAAGGAGCTCCCCCCTCAAACTCTAGAGGGACAGGGCCGTCACCGACTCAGAGCCCTCGATCTCCCCACCCGGCGTTCGTTCTTATCATTCAAGATCATCTAGGAATTCCATGTACTCCCCTACATGAACACTTTCGCCCCCCCCTATNNCCCCCCCCCCCCCCCCTCTTGCTGCACAGCGTCCCGCATCCCCAAAGAAATCCAAATCATGAATAATCGCTCTCCATCACAGCAAAATCCCCTAGCCGTTCGGTGGACATGTCACCCGTGGTCTCAAGCATAGCCTGTTCTGGTTGGTCACCACAACAGACATGCTGGATATCAAGCAGGTCAGGAAAGCCTTCCAGGAAGTCCTTCAACTGCAGCTCAAGCGAACTGAAGGCCCTCACATGTGCTCTCTCCCCAGGATTGACAGGGTTGTCTGCGTCCCCTCGTGATGCACACGCGCGAACTGGCTCACCACAGGTTTTCCAAGCTTTCCGTGGGATTTCATAAGGCCGCTCGATTACGAGGAGGAACCCCACAACATGCAGCAGATGAAGGCGATCCATCTCTCTGACGAGGCAACTACTCACACATCCCACACAATGGGAATTGGATTCCATAGCACTTTCATAGATGCCGCCACGTAGGCCGGCTTGGCCCTCGGCAATGAGGCTGCCCACAGGGTCCTGACCTTTCATGGCCTTCGTGCACTCGGCGCCTCTACCATGGACACGCTTGTCGAGGGGATCCAGGGCATGTTCCGCGACAACATCCACGCAGCCCAAGCCAAAGGTGAGAGATGATGAGCCAGCAAGAGCAAAACAATTGCCTGCATCCAATCCCGCGGCCAAGGCTAAGACCGCCGTGCCATTTGTCCGCCAAAGGTGGACTGAAGAAGACTGCACCCTTTGGCGGCTTCCAAGGGACACCTGGCACCCGGCTGCTGAATCGCACCGCTGGTGGGGACACTGGTTTTTATTGGTTTCAGTAGCGTGATGCAGTGCGTGGCCACGTGTATGATACATTTCGCATGCTGCCACTCACCTATCAACAGCACAAATCAACTGTTAGCTTGGGGCGGCCCAGTGCCTATTTCTTTTGAGTGCTCATGCGTGCACTTTAATGCTTTGAAAGCATAGTGGGAGGGGGGGTGTTTTCGCACTCCAGGCAGTTTTGCAATATTTGCAGCTACTTATGTCATCTAGGTAGCTATTATTGCTATTTCATGATTGCTTGAACGCTTTTGCTTCGCTGCTTGACGTCACGGCCCCAAGAAGTTCGACTTGCCGGTCGTTTGTTGTCCGCACACGGCTGAATCCTGTGCGGTTTCACAAGTGCTTCCGAAGAACACCAAGGGGGGCAGGGCAAGATTTGACGCTCGCGGGCCGAAATGGCTGCAGCACAATTCGGCTTAGTTACCGGCTTTTGGTCGATGAGTCCGTAGCCGCTGGTGCTCTGAATTTTCAGTACTTCCACTGCATATGGATTTCCACCGCTTTTTCTGGATTTCTTGGTCTTTTGGTTGTCCAGGATTCATTTTTCGATTTTCAGGATGTTTAAATTTCAAAGTGCGATCCGTTGTGAGCGTTTGGATTTTGATTTTTTTGGTTATTTTTAGTAGATCGAAATTTTCTTAGATTTGGTATGTTGTCAGACCTTTTCGATCTTTTTGGAGTTTCTTCAAAAGTTTTCTATACTTCGTCAGGTTTTGTGGGAGCAAGTCAGCAGAGGAGGTGCAGGGATGAAGCGGCGCATCAGCAAACCGGGAGAGGTGGGGCCGCAACCTATCAGGCGATAGTGCAAGAGGGGGTCAAGAAAAGCAGGGATGCCAATCCCTACAGAAGAATGGTGTCCACCCGTAGGGTTGGAGTGAAGGCCAGCCACTCCAGCCGGGATAGGGTCGCCCCTCCCTGCAGAGGGATGGGGACCACCCTCAGTAATTGTACATAGCTGTACATACTGAGGGAAGAGCCTCCCTGGGCTTACCAGGAGGCCAAGCCGAAGGGCTTGGCTCTGACTTGAAACAAGCCTACGGGCTGCCAATGCGCGCGAGTGAGAAAAGCAGGTTCCGGGGTCAAAAACCATTGAAGTTGCTGGAGGCAAGAAGGGTCCGTGGGGCTATCAAATCCAATCATGTTGCACGTTCAACGCACACCCGCTGATGATTCGCCTTATGTGGCATAGTTGAACTTGTGAATTCACAATCAAGTTGTGTCTGTTCATGACCGTGCATTGCCTGGCGCTGCACAAATTCTCGCAGCGTCCTGGGGCGGAGCTTGCAGGCAAGAGGTGAAACTGCGTGCTCTGTGTGTGTGCCACCCGTCTGCGTGGACGGTAAACGCAAAGTAAGCTTCAACATCTTTTTGGTGTTTTCCTTTCTGTTTCGTTTGTCGCTGTGATTTCTTTTGGGGCCTGTTTCATGGCTGTCGCGCAAAGCCGCGGTGATAGCTGCTGGTCCATGGGAGTAGGGCGCTGCTGGGACGGGAGGGGCGAGAAGAGTGTTAAGGGAAACGCTGTTCGGAAAGCTGAATTAATGTGCTCGGTCAGTCATTGCGACATCCACGCTTTTCCACGTTTTTGATGGGACTCTGCATCGTATCGTCGTGGCAATAGAATATATAGCCCCGGTTCTGCTATTTGCGGAGCACACTTTGCCCCCGATGGCGCTACGGGAGTTCGTGCCTCCGCGTGATTCTTGAGGTGGATCTTGATCCCTTCATGATTGTGCAGCGCACCCTTGTGCAGTCCAAGGGTCTTGAGAGCCCAAGGGTCTTGAGAGTGCTTCTGGCATGTTTCTTGTAGGCTCCTCTCATTTTTGTGAGGTCTGCATTTCTCAATCCGTTTTGACCCGCCCCGTTGGTACCGTGCATGCCTAGTGAGTCAACCAGTCCAGGGGTTCGAGGGGAGTGTGAAGTCCCCGACTTCAGGCCCACCCCATTGGTGCAAGGGTTTGATGTGCACGTTCCGGGCAAAAGATTGTCAGGATCGGATTCTGTAGGGTACGCGACCACGGTCAGGTTTTTTCAGGGGCGCCCAGGCTTTTCTACCGTCCGCCGCTCGAATGCTTTTTGTGTGTACCTGACATTGGACATGGCTGATGGGCATCAAATTGATCCGGCCAGTTTTTTCCCCAATAAAATGTCATTTGCTAGCCCTTGTAGCGCTAGATGCAGGGTGGAGGAGCTGCAGCAGTACCGGCGGCAGGCACTCGCTCGTTGTGCAAAGTATTTTGCCTGTTTGAGAAGCACGAAGCAAATGCTTGTGGAGCTGTTCAGGACTCACGTAGCAGTCGTAAGGAACAGCATGCCAGGTCGAGCGCAACCAGCGCTTGGCTTCTGAGGGCATTGAGGGCAACAAGGCGTGGCAAACTGCTAGGACCTGCTAGGCGCTGTCTAAGTCTCCAGAAGTTGCCTACTTCATCCTTTACCCAACTGATGTAGCTCTGCAGCGTCGCGGCTGATGTGGGAGGTTATGCCGATCCGAACAGACAAGTCCTGCTATTCTTTTTTGGTCCTTGCCTTGCAGGTCTCGGTCCTTAGTGTTGCTGCATGAAGTCGAGTCAAAGCAAGGCTGGCGTTGCTTTTGCATTGCCTTGTGCTACTTGTGCTGGGATGCGCTGGGCTGTTGTGAGTGAGGTCCTAGCTAGGTCAGACCCTGACAACAGAAGGCTTGCAACCTGGCATAGCTTTTACAGCATGAACATGTGAAAGGACCCATGCTTAGTTACCTTTGAGTCATGACCTAGTCTGTAGTAGCTTCAATGGCCGAATGGTTGCAGCTGGGCCCTGAGCTGCGAGCCGCGGCATGAGCCACAGAGCCTGCGGCCCGGGGGTGCCTGTTGTCGTGTTTTTCACGCCATTTCACGCCTTTAGCACACATCGCTGCTTGCTCCTGTAGATCTGTTCTATGTATTGCAGTTCGGCTCAGCTTTTTCTTGGAAACAGAATTGACAAATTGATCACCGGTACATGGCAGATATGGCAGCCTGAAAGTTGTTGGCTTGGTGTGCTTCTCGTAGGAGCACAGATGAGCTCGAGATCCATCGAACACTTCTACAGGCTTTGTGAACAACAGCTGTGTTGTAAGACCTCCTAGGCCTTCGAATCCCTGCCGGGGGAAGACAGCTATGCCTATTCCCTGGCAGATCAAAGCCCAACTGCAGGCCGCTCAAGGTCACAGCATGTCGAAGTGCTGCAGAACGGCCAAGATGAAGTATGCATTGATCGAAGGTAGTGCAGAGGCTGCGGAGGAGCGCCGACAAGAGCATGAGCGACTCGAGGAGATCGAGAAGAAGCTGGCTGTTACTTGGCTGAGGTGAAGCTGCAAAATTGCCGGCATGCAGCAGGAGCATGTGGGAACAGTTCTCACTGAGGAAAAAAAACGCCGACTGCAGGAACTAGATGAGATTCTCGGCCGTGAAATTGTCGCTGTCCACAGATGACACATTGAACAGCCCGCGTCACAGGTTTTATGATCACAGACGTGAAGCAATCCGAAGAAGGGTTGCAGACAAGCAGGACCAGGCTGAAAAGCAATCTGTCTTGCTTCATCTCATCTTTGTTTTGCAGTTCAGGTGGACCATTATCGCAGAAAGTCGTCCATGTACCGCTCCTCCCCAAAGTTCAGGATGAGCAACGGGCCGCCAGGTCGGGACCTTGTTCTCAAGCTTTGCTTAAATCATCGATTTTGCAGCCATAGGAATGGTTGACGAGTCGCTGATGTCACGCGCGATGTCAACATGCTTCATTTCAGGTTGCCGCTTCTTCCAGTTTGTGGATGAGGCCTGGTTCGACGGTGTGGTTGCCTTGGTGATTGTGCTGAACCTCTTGTTGATAGTTATGGAGCCGCTCGGTTGTGTTGCTATTGACACGCCTACGGGGCAGCAGTAGTACGCACGGGTGACTCCTAGTTAGCCTTATCTGAGGTTGACAGACGATACTAAGGGCAGCGCCTTCTTTTGGTGGGATACGGTGATTCTGGTGTTTTACATTGCGGAGTTTTGTTCTCGCCTGGCGTTGCACCATGAGGACGGTATGGGAACATCTTTGTGCACGAGCTTGCATGAACCATCGAGCAATAGCAGGGGGTGGATTCCCTTGTACTTGCTGATCTTGAGGATCTGCTGTTTGGACCCTGCACAGCAGTTTGGACATTCTGGGTTGACTTGTTGATCATTGTTGTGGGCGTGCTGGACCTCTGGATTTGCCACTAGCTTAACTCTCTGCTTTGACCCCGGAACCTGGCGTTAAAGAGGGTCCTGAGGTCCCCAGATCTTCAGAGCAACGCCGCCCGCATGGACTGCCTGGTTGCAGGGTCTCCGTGCAGTTCGTGAAGCTCGGCTGAAGCTTTGAACTGCAGATGAAATCGTCTTTGACACGCGCGGGCGGAGGTCGTGAAACTTGTGCGTCTCTTAAACGACACCTCCTGGGCCGATGAGCAAGGCTTCCAGCTCTTCATCCTCGCAGCTTCTTGGCTTTGCAATTCGTGCATTGCACGGCTCTTCCATTAGACAAGCATTCCAGTTCACAAAGCGAGGTAATCCTCTCGAATGCGTTGATGATTGGTTTGGAACTGAACTTTCCCGATTTTCAAGGTTTCAGGCGGGCGGGCTTGCTAGAGGAGTATTCGATGCCTTACTCGATCTTCATTGAAATGAAGCAGGTTGCTGGACAACCTGATGCTGGCAATCTTCACGTTTGAGATCATTGTGCGTATTCGCAATTCGGGCTGCCGGCTTCCTGGTGTAGATTAAGAGGCCGACGTGGAAGCTTCAGGATCTACCCTGATGGCTGCATGACATAGCCGCTGTCAATCAGGTTTTTTCACGCGCAGAATGAAGCCTTCTACAACTGGCTGGACACTGTCGCTGCGGCTGTTCTTGCGCCACACTCTGTTTGTCTCAGCCCCCCTTCTGTCTCAGATTTTATTCGTAACACATGGAGCGGGGGCTCTAAGCCAAACCTGCTCAACGTTCAAGTTCATGTGATGCATTTGGACGTTGGCTCTCTTCTAGAACTGAAAGTACATTGCGCCGGTGTGGCAGGACCTCGTAATCGTGATGCTTGGTGTCGTAGAGCAGTGGCTGTTGCCTTTGGTGGGCTTCTCGCTGTACATGAGCGGAGCCGTGGAGGACCGCAGGGCGGCAATGATTACAAATCCGGCCTGCGCATGGGCAGCTGAGGAGTCTCCTTTTGGCGAAGGTCAACCACAAACGCAAGCAATGCGGCTGCTACGGCTTGCAAGGCCATGGACTGAGTGACGGAATCATGCAGGAGGACCATGACAATCCCCTTTGCTTTCGCCACACACTCCAGCATAGTCATTGAAATTAGTCTAGCCGCAGCTGCAATAAGTAGCAACTGTAGGGTGCAAGTTTCCAGAGCTTGATAGAAATGGCCGTAGTGATTGGGGCAGAGGCACTAGTCTCAGGCGGTCGCAGTAGTTGTGCGTTTGCTGCTTTATCATGGACATCCCATCCCTAGCCTCATCTTTGTGGAAGTAACTATGCCTGAGACTTTCCATTTCATACGTGACAGGCAGGTGCCACATTTCAGCTAGCACTATTGTTTCTTGCAGCAGGTTCTCACAGCTGCCGCGGACCAACAAAAGATGTCATGTGACATTTGGTCTGAAGGGGTGAAGCTTCAGCAATACAATGCTCCAAAGCTCAAGGCTTTCTCGTGTACGGATGTTAATGATAGAGCTGGGGTGAAGGCCGCAGGTGCTGACATCTTGTTCTACGCGTTTCTCAAGCTTTGGCAGGAAGTTTGCAGCCCTGCAAACCTGAATCTGCTGGTCCTATTCTACGCTCACTGTTTTCCCGCATCTCCCTTTGTCTCGGCTAACTCTTCTGATGGCTTTCTGTTTTTGTTGGCCGTCTCGCCTGTCTCTGTCGTTTTCAGTTTTTCTGTGTCTGCTTTGTTTCCTCCCCATCCTGTGCTGGCATCGCCAACCCTGCGCACAACCTTTATACCTCAACAACGTGCATTCATGAAAGTACTGGCTCACGACACTCAGATTCAGACCTTCTGTTGCTGCAGGCTGCTGCGTCTCATGCGGCTATTACGCCACCCCGATGAAATTGGAGGATCCTAGCAAGTACTCCAGAACTGCTCTCCTACTGCCGCAACAAAGACTTGCCTGTAAGCTCACCCTCCCTAAACATTCTACTGAGCAAGCACTGAGGGCTCATCCGGAACATCCCACCCCTGTACACGCTGGCCATTGGCATCCTGGAATCCTTCCAGGCGTTGTTTCAATCAACAAAACAGAGAGGTAGACAAGGGCAGGAGCACGCCATAGACTTTGAATGGTTTTCTTGCCTGGCTGAAGATGCACGATTTTTAAGTGTGTCCTGCAGTTTGCATTTCAGTCGGCAACCCACCGCTTGATATGAATGTGGTGTTCTTCCAAAGCTCACACTTTGCAACGCGCTTGTTTCCCTTTCTAGTCAACACCTGACAGGGTATGACGTGGGTGTTTCTTCTTGCCCTCGTCGTGCTCTACACCTGCGCCATCTTATGCACCCAGCTGATTGGACATAGGTTAATAGTGCCAGTGGACTTCCCCGAGAGTCTTGGCTGCATTTCTAGATCTTGATATCCGACTGTGCGGTTTGATTTCCGACGGGTTCGTCGCTGTGAATCTGAGGAGCGCATCCCGGGTATTCCCGAGTGTGGGAGACTCGATGTTCGTCCTGCTATTGGCCTGCACTTAGATTCGTGGAGCGTTTTGGTGCAACTGTGCACAGAGCCGAGGTTCAAGGTCATGAACGCCGACACAGGGCCTCTAGAGCCCCTTTTCAGCGCACTGCCTATCTCCAAGCTGTTTACCGCATGCGTGAAGCTCAGACGAGTTGGTATGCTTGAGGCCTGCTCTTTCAATCCTAAGCTCGATGCCAGGCTTCATGATACTTTCAAATTGGGCAATCCTGGCCATCCTAACGGCTGTCGTCAGCGAAAACTTGATCAGCGCCTGCGCGCCACTTGACCCTCTTCAGGCAGCTGCGCCGATCATGTCATCATCTAGAATCTTCCACTCCGATTTGCTAAGGGACCATCGTAAGCAGCACGATGATGCAGCACAGCAGGAAAAGCGCCAAAACTTGAGCAAGTCCCGCGGCTGCAGCTCCTCAGGCCTTTGGCCCTTTGAACACAGACGGGTGGGCGGCAAGATCCTATGTCCTTTGCCAAGGATATTCTTTAATATCTTCGTCAAAATGGACGAGCAGGGAGATGCAAACCGAAACTTGGTCTGCTGCAAGAAGCACAAGCCTCATCTGGCTTGACCTCCGGGCCTTTGTACTTGCTCCGTTTAACTTAGGCTGCTGCTCACACATGTTTTTTTGCGAGGCTGGCCCCCCGAACGTTCGAAATCTTTTGAGAGATGCCTCACCGTTGAATGGGAAAAGCAGTTTGATGGGGTTGGGTCAAAAACCGAACTGATGTTTGGAATCTTAGATGGGAAAGGCTACCAGATGCCTTGATGCCTTTACCTCAATTATGAAGTCAAAAAGAGCTTGCTAGCAGAACATCCAATCTATCAGCATTCCATCAAATTCCATGCTTTTTAAACCAGGCCGAGAAAGTGTAAAGGAGTCTCGCTGCAAGAACTGTGGCCTCAGGAAAAGTCAGCCGCCCTGAGTTTGAGAGGATGAGAGGAGAATTGGAGGCAGAGCTGGAAGCTGCGCGCCTTGGGTGCACTACGCCGCTAAAGTGTCGCAGGTTGTTTGAGCTTCCCGTAAGCTGAGGAACATCTACATAGATAATCTCTCGGAGTGGTTCGAGTTGCTCTGCAAAAAGCCTAGCATCCAGGAGGAAGAGCACCGAAATTTCTTGGTACTAGTTATGAATGATCATAGCCATCAGTTGTTTGTGTCCGAAATTGTCTGACGTTGGGGATCAGGACCCACAGGTTGATCTCGATGACTTGCTCGATGCATTGCACCTGCAGAGCAAGGCCCCTGTGCAGATGTTGGCATGACCCTTTGAAGTTGCAATGCTTTCTCTGCAGGAAGTTAGTCAGCGAACGCTGATGCGCATGGAGCGACGGATTGGAAGTTTAGAGGCGGTCTCATGAAGGTTACAAACATGAGCATGGGGAACTGAAGCACCTCCCTGCCCTGCCATGCGGGCCCCGTTGGACGCTTGGTGCAGGCAATGGTCTGCATCCTCCTGGGTGAGGACCCAAAGTCGCCCCGCAAGCAGTCGGAAAAAACGTTCCGATCGCAAAATAAGGGGTGCTAGATTCGGGTTACTAGTACTACGTTGGATCACTTGCATTGCTGCATGTTCCTGCTGTGGGTCTTGCTTTGAGAGGCCCGCCAAGCGAAGGCGGAGGTGGAGTCAAGGCCAAGCTCGCTCTCAGCGTCTCAGCACAGTCACGCTGCACGTCCGCAGGAATTCACACAAGCTTCAACGGTATGCGAGCCGCGTACCGGACTGTTTCACCATGCACGACCGATACGAAACAGAGTGTGTCTACACAGGGACATCTGAGCTGTCCGCAAGCTTGGCTTGCAATTACTTGATGACCGCAGCCTTGCTGCAGCTTGGCCCAGAATCTCGGCACAGCTCTGCACCAAAGCATTTTCTGACGCGTCGTCTAGGGACCCTTCATTGGCTTTCTGCAGACTCTGGTATGTCATAAGCCCCTGTCACTTGCTTCATGTGACGCACCCTGTGCATCAGCTATCATCAGCTACTGACGTAGGTCAGCGTTTGAAGAGAGCCTGGCCTAGGGCAGATTGTGCATGCGCCCAATGCCCTGCAAACAGTGTCCTCGCTGCGTTGCGACAGATGCCGGGGGCGCAGACCGCTTTCTGTTCTAAACATGTAAGAGCTGCTCAAAATTATGATGGGGATGAAGTGGGCATGCAAAGCTTTCTTTATTATGAAAGCTGTTCAGCAACATAGTTACATCGACCTCTCGGGCCGAACTTTGCTTTGAGGATTTCAGGTCTGATGTATTCGAGACTCGCATCGAGAACATGAGACAGGTAAGGCTGAGGGAGTTGCCCCCTTCTGACCCGAAGGGCTCCAACAACCTGATGACTCATGTTGCTTGCAAGTAGCAATTTGTTGATTGAAACATTTCAGACATTTTCAGACACTATGAGTTTGTTGGAACGTGCTTTCAAGTCCCGCTGTTTTTTGTTGCAACAATTCGTGGTGTTGGCTTGTTGTTGCGTGGTCCTCCCTGCTAAGTGACCAGATGGGCTGCCTTTGAACCTGTTGGGCTGTTGAAGGCAAGGACTGCCAATTCTCAGAGATGCGCACAGCTTGCGTCCTGCATTGTTTCCAGATGGCCGTGTGAAGGCAGAGTATCAATATCAAACGAATATACTCCTTGCTTGCATGGGGTGGAACAGACTTTCAGGTGTGACTGGATTTGATAGGCTGCGCGGAAATGTTGGAAGGAATTCTTTGCGCATCTTGCACAGCTGTTTCGGTCCCCCGCAGTGTCTTTTGAGCGGCCCACAATTTTTCTGCCTTACAAGCAGCAGCTAAGTAGCTGGAGCCCTGAACTAAAGCAATGCCCTGGAACATGTTGATGTGTGATTGCGCTACACCTTCAGGTCCCATGGCAGAACTATTCCTTGCCATTGTGGCATGCACGACAGAGAGCAACTGCTGCGAACAGAGGCATTGTGACAGTTTCCGCCCATGTGCATTCTTTTGGCACATGTCTGTGCAAGGTTTGGCAGTGTTTTGAACTGTGAGGCTCAGCTGCGCCGTCGCTTTGGGGAGCAGCCTTGTGCACAGTCGAAGGTTGTTCTTGCAGTCGCAGTGTCGCGTTGACAAAGGCTACCGCCGCAGCAAAGTGCCGACCTCTCTTAAGGACCGGATGTGGAGTTGACTAGCTGCTGAGAGACTATGTACAGGTTCTGACACGTAAAGCTATTGCGTGCTTCAGGAAAGTTCTCAGGCTTGGCAGGTGCCACATGCCTTCTCTGCGGCGAGCCTAGACAAATTGGGCATGTGAGTGCTGCAGAGGTATCTGTGCCACTCTGTGAGGGCATTTGTGAAGCGCCATCCTGTTCTATCATTTTTTTCATGTTCAACCAGACCGCAGCCTTTGGCTTAATTCGGTCACACCGTCTTCTCTCAGTCTCTCTCCCTCCGTGCTAATCAAACGGCACGGGCCCCTGTTCATGCCGATCAGGCCAATTGAGGAAGAGGTAGCCATTCAGGAAGAGGAAGCGAAGGAAGGCGTCAGCGACAGCCAGGAAGACGATGAATTTGATGATCGCATCCCATGCAATTGGCGATACATTGCCAACTGTTTTCTCCTTCCACTGACAAACGGGGGCGTGAATGGCTTCCCGTGGTCCGGCGTCGCCCTATTCTTTCAATTGAACGGCTGGCCTTTGTGGAAGCTTGGGGTCTGTAGTTTTGCAGGATTTGGCCTGCGAGTGGTCATGGCCATCATGTACCTCAAATTTGGCACTTGGCTTTCGCTCCTTTCCACGAGCGTTCATCTTGCCTTTTGCGTGCCAGCCCTGATCAACCCTTTTGCCGAATGGGCAGTGATCATGGAAATGATTGCTCTGCTCGGTTTAGATAGTATGCTGCCCAATGATGCGATAGTCTTTTTCAACTACTGCGACTCTGAGACTCAAGCGCAGAAAGCAGCTTCCCAGGCGCCGTCTCTCGATGGGGTGAACAAACCCTAATGATTTAAATGCTCCTGAAGCTCTGTTAGGGTTCGCGTTTTGGCCAGGGTTCCTTGGAAGTGGTTGAGGCCTTATGTACTCCGGTAGTAAGCCTGGAGCCCTTGAAGTTCATTCAGAACTCCCGGGTAGGTGCTGCAGAGCCTTGTGGCATGTTACGCGATTGCCTCCACAGTGGGTGGCCTGGTCTACGACTTGGGCGGTTGGCGAGGCTGCGCTGCTTACCACTTGAGCTTGCAGGTGCTACAAGCATTTCTCATTTTCACGGAGCCAGCAGTATGGGCTTCTTGGTCAGAGTGGCGGCACGGGAGCTCTGTCTCGGATTCAAATCCACTGCCTGACCCTCGAAAAAACAGCGTACTTCCAGTCACAGAGGAAAGCCTGCCCAAGGCTGAGGAGCCTTGCGGAAATCCTCCGTCGCTTCTCGCGTGTGACGAGCTGCTACCAAGTCCAGCGGCAGAGAAAGCTGTCGCAGAGGGTGTGGAAATACACGGTGCTCCGGACGTGAATGAAGGCAGTGGCGCCCCGCGCGCATCGCGCAGGTCGAAGAAATGCTCTAGGCCTAAACCAAGTGGGAACTCAAACGCGCGTGTGTCCTTTGCTGGAGATATGGCCGCTAGAGGTTCAGTGTTTGCGAGCCGAGGCAGCTTTTGGGGTTTTGGCCGAGCAAGCCGAGGCAGCCGCGGCAGTGCGGCGAGTCTCAGTGCTCGACGCTCGCTCATGTCCCGATTTCCAGACATGCCGAGAAGTTCAGTTGCCGTAAAGATGTCAAGGCGGTCTATGGCATGTACGAACATGATTCCGATGACTATGCCACGTGAAGCTTCCCAGCTCATGTTTATTGAGGAGGAAGATGATCAAGTACCAGGAGTCAATGCAGGTGCAGGTGGCGCCGCCAAGAAGACGATCCCTCACGACATTATGGCCCCAGCAATTTTGATTTGTCTGATAGGTTTCAACCACAATTTATCCTACCAGTCCGAGTGGACTCTGTATGCAGTCTTCTTTGCCGAGCAGCATGGGTGGACATCCGCCACATGGGCAGGCCTAGCACAGACTTCTGGGGATGTGTTGGGCACGCTCATCATGCAGCTCCAATCTCGCTGCGCGGCTGCCACAGAGGAGGACGGCTTCGATGGTCACAGGTGCCAGCGCCTTTGGTATTCACTAACTGCCAAGCCATACACAGCATCCTGGATTCTGTTGTTCTGGGCAATCTTGAACTTTGCCCTGACAGCTCCATCTCTCCCGATTGCCGTGGCTGCACAAGTGGTCATGGGCACGGTCTTTGTGCTATCAATGCAGACGGCTACGAAGATGAATCTTTTCTTTTCATTGGGCGATGGGGATGTTTTTTTGGCCTTACAGGTGATGCGCCAAAACTTCGAGTCATTTGGCAGTGCGCTTGCTGCTTTAGTCTCTCTGTTGCTGTATGAGCGCGTCCACCCCCTGTCTCCATTCTGGCTTACCGCTGCTGTCTCACTCCTGGTTCTGCTTGTTTACACCCTTGCTTTCTGCAAGCGCGTCGGCTTTGGCAAGAGCCTGGACCGAGCTGAAGAGGAGAGAAGCCAGAGAAAAGGATTAACTCGCGAAAAAACCTGGCAAAAGAGCACCGCAACAATGGCGGCTACTAAGCAGCTGAGCATGACAGAGGATGAATAAGTTTGAATGGGATTGCATGGTGCTTGTTAATTCGCTGTTTGTCCAAACACGCAAACGAGGCAGCTGTTGCTGTCTCCCACTGCTTCTTCTCATGCTACTGTACAGTTACTGAGTTCACTGGCTTGGGACGCTGTCATGCAGCCACTGACGCTCGACAATTCGATTCTCGTGGCTTTGTGTAGGTTTTTTCCCATTCCAGGCATCCTTGCTTCCAAGCTGAAACTTCTAGACATCACAGCTACATACAGCCTCCTGAAACAGCGCAAGGCTCGGAGAGAGAGTTCTGCCGTGAGAAGGATGGTGAGGGAGGATGTCAGAGCTTTGGATTTGATGGGAGAGATGGCCAAGCAAAAAAGGTGAACAGAAGCATTTGCACTGAAAATGTCCCTGCACGACTGCCACACGCTGCTTCCATGAATCCACAACATCTCGCAGCTGTTTAGGCTTTGCAGTTTGTCATTTGGCATGGAGACTCAATGGAGACGTGGTGTCTGGCAGAATCTCGCCAACATGGGCATGCTGGCGGAGCAATCCTTGAGCCAGGCCGCGGCCCCAGCACCACGGTGGACTGACGCGAAAGGCCCTGGCCCTTGCAGTGGTCCAAGCTCTCCATGTGACACTCTTTGCCTCGACACCATAACGGGAGCCATCGTGGCCTGCAGGAACGCGCAGCTGGTACCTGCGAACCTGGCGCAGATATGCGCAGATCTGCAGCGAAGCGCTTGACACAGAAGACCGGGAAACACTGTTGGCTGCTGGCTACCTCTCAGGAGTGTTGCACGTTGTGGGCTTGATTGAGTGCCGGTTGCGGTAGAAGGCCACAAAGATGTTCCAGAATGGTGTGCAAGCAAGAAAGCAAGGAAGCTTGAGGCATTTTCAGGCAGACGGATTGGAAATCAGAGTTGCGCGGATGATGTGAGACGGCAAGCCATGCCATGACTGGCACAGCGCCGACTTGGAATTGACCTTGCAAAAGAGGCTTCATGGGTCCACCAGCATGCTTCATGACCCTTCACCCCCCGTAGCAACATGAGTTCAGGTGCATGATCATATTTGATTGCATTCTCAAGGTGTGCAATATAACCGTGCTCTTCGGCGAGAAGAGCTTGGCCAATGTGTCAGTGCCAATGATGCAGCTGGGATGCTTTGCTGCACCAATCTGCACCACTAGACCTGCTACAGTACAAAGAGCGCTTCGACAGGGTCGGTGTTGGTTGAGGTTTAGAACCTGTAACGAAAGCGCAAAAGCGCATAGCCGCTGAGGACAGTCCAAGAATACAACGCTTGATGAGCCGAGCGCTCAGCTGCCCTGCCCTGGAAATCTCCAAGCACAGAAGGGTGGATCCGATTCAGGTGGTTTGCTTTGGAGCCCATCGGCCCCGATGTGCATCATGCGCAGCGTGCACAGCTGCGGCTCTTGTTGCACCTTCGTCGTGATGAAGATGGACGCCCAACGTTGATGCTTGTAATTTGGGCTGTTGTGGCATTTGTCTTGGATTTGCTTCACGCGGCGAGCCACAGAAAGCAGGAGACAAGTCTGCGCCTCCGCAGAGTTTCCAAGATCTTTGCCAGAAGCTTCTCCCTGATAGCTCTGAGGATAAGGGCTCAAATTGACTCGAAAATCTAGCACGGCCATCCTAGTTCTGCAGGACTCGCTGCCCGAGTATGGAATTAGCGAGGCAGCCTTCGGCAAGGTGGATCCTGCTCCACGAGCTGAGCACGTGATGCAAGGACCTCCGCGAATCAAGTGTCCCAAACGCAGAATCTGCAAGACTAGTTTCCCTGCATGCGTATAAACCATGCGGGAGGGAAGAAAAAGTAGAATCAACTCCATCACAAGTGCTTCAGCAAGCCAGGTCAATGATGGTCAATGTAGAACCCGCAACTTCGCGGTTTCCTCAGTGTAGCGAGCAGAAGCTAGCGTCTGGCGGGCGCTTGGCTCGCAGATGTGGGCCAGCCTGGAAGCTCCAACTGGACGAAAGCAGGAAGGAAGCCGCAAAAGACACACACGCAGGCGCAGGCACACGCATGAAGCAAAAGCTGTTTTGGGAACCATAATTCTGATTAACTAACTTGTTGAAAGTTGCACAATTTTACACCGCTTGAATCATCTACATCATCACCACAGCTGGGCGACGTTTGAATCACGCTTTGTCCGAGAACCCATGTGTTTGCAACGTGGAGATTTCAACTTGGTGCAGGACCCTTCATTTTGCCTGTGGAGGTGCGGACCTGGATGTTGATGCAGACTATCTGTGATTTCGTGGCAGGAAAATGCAGGCGATTTGGAAGCCTTGGCCTCCGAACTCGAGACGCTGCAAAGGCATCTGCTACAGTCTTCCAAATGTCTCTCTTTCGGAAGGAAGTCTCGAAGCAGGCTTTCTTTGTCCTTTTCTAGAGCCACGCAGCCCGAGACGCCGCAGCCGCCACGAGGCGACGGCACCAGGGTAGTCGGGTGTAAACAGTGTACATGTAGCAGCCTTGATCCTTGACGCACAACACCCAAAGCATCTGGTCTTGGGTTTGCTATGTCACGGAAAATCCGAGTACTCTGGATGGCTTTGCTTTCTGTGTTCGAAGAGTATGAGCGTGCCGCGCAGTGCTGCTAGTGCGCTCATGCCGCTAAAGGTTCGTTGCCTGTGGATGAGCCTTCCTCGCCTGGCAGCAAGGACACACTTCCGCTGAAAGCCACTTAGAGGTGTCTCTGATTCTGCTCTCTAGATGACAGGATGCTGAGCCTACAATTTATGATGAAGCTCGTACACAGCTGCTTGCGCAGAAGGAGGTGGGGGCTGAGGGTCTGAGGCGCAGTGCATGTCAGGGACAAAGCCTCTCGTGCTGCTCCTGTGTTAGGCGCTGGAGAGGGAACGAAGCGAGCTGAACAGCCACTGGATCGGAACTCGGGAGTTGAAAGTAGAAGCAGCGCCGAAGAAGTCTGTCATAGCAGCAGGGGCTAACAGCTGCTCCGCTGCTCCTTTTTTGAATGGAGGTCTGCCCTCCAAGCGGACCAGTCGACGAAGCAGGAGGTGTAGCAGGGATTTCGTCATACACAGACAGCGGACCACTGGTCAAGCTGTACCCCCTGCCCACAGTATGTCTACCTTATGTAGAAGGTGCTCTTCAATAGTTCATCGCCTTCACAGGAGGAACCGTTGTAAAACGAGCGAGGCATCTCATGTAAATGAAAGCGTATCTGTCCTAATCTGTCCCAAGCAGTGAACTGGTGCACAGGTCCTTGCAGAGATGCGAGCTGAGCGGTTGTCGATCTTTTCCAGCGTGGAGGAGTTGCAGGCAGAGGTGCGGACGCGTACAAGCGCGTTCAATAATTCTGCTAGGCTCTGACCCCCGTACCAATGCCAGGTGGTTTGTTACGTCTTGTGCTGCTGTTGCAGGTGGAAGATGCTACTACAGAGCTCAAAGAGGCTGAGCAACTCAGACATGTGAGGAGGAGATCAATCACAGCGAATGCTCCGTCACTCCTTGACAGGCTCAGGCAGTATCCTCGGGCCGTTTGGCAGTGCGCCGCCAGCTGCAGACGGAGCTGAGTGCTTGCAGGGAACTCATGCAGACTTGTGGCAACCCACAGTTGGCATGTGCGTGGCCAGCAGCTGGACTTGGATTTGGATGCAGATGCGTTCAGGGCAGCTGCGATTCCGGAATGTGTTACAGCCGGCCCTGGCATGCGGTTGATAGCGCATCCCGAGGATGCCGCCGCAGTTCCCAAAGCTTTCCAACTTTCCCAGGTGCAGAGGACTTTAGCAGTGAAGCTGCCTGCCAACGTTGGCACCCAAGCATTCAACCTCAGAATAGTAAGCAGGTTTGCATGCTAGGCAGAAATCACCCAGGTCGCTCAACCGATGCGTTGCGAGCCCAGCGCGCTGCGCTGCGCTCCGAGGCCCGCACGGATTTGAGATCTTGCGTCTGGGGTGTTGTAATCCGCAAACTTGACTTGCTTTTTAATGCCGTTGCCCCGAGAAGTAGAGACATATAACTGGTAGATCAAGCGCCGGCAGAAGCTGAAAGAGAAGCAAAGGCTGCTAAGGTTCTTCGGTCTGGTCTGGCTTCAGTTAGGCGAAGAATGCAGAAAGACGGGCGACTGGGTGGCCTGCCAGGGACATGAAGTGGGATCCGCGAGTGTACCTCCGCATGTTGTGAGCCTGCTTGCTTGATCTTGCTTGCCTTCTCTCAAGGGTTTGCTTGAGGTTGGCTTTAGGGGTTCGCCCCGTGAGTGCCCAGGGCTGGATTACAAGGAGCACCTACACATTATTTGCGCTTCCTGGCTTTGTGACTTCTGCGCTAGCGGGTGCTGAAGTCCCCGTAGCTTTTGGATTTAGTGGTCCCTGTGCCTTGCGGCTCCTTGTGGGCTTTTTGTTCGGGCTTGTTGGCTTCGTAGTGTTGGGCTTCTTGGCATCTTGGCTCGTGGATGTCTTGGCTTTGTGGCTTTTCTTGGTTGCGTGGCTTTTTGGCATTTTTTAGCTTTTTGATGTTGCGACTTTTGGGCTTCTCTGGCTGCCTGGCTTGTTGGCTTTCTGGCTCGTCCGGTTTCCTGGCTCCTTGGACTTCGGCTTCCTGACCGTTGACTTCGTTGCTTCTTTGATTTGCTAGCCTGGAAGTTTCTCGCTGAGCTTTCGCATAGAGCAACCTCGCATTTTCCTCAAATTGAGCTTTTGCATAGAACGTCCGCGTCTTCTTTTGGGATCCCGGCCACACCAGTAAAAAGGGAAGACAAAAAAGCAAGCAATAGCAGTAGCACAAAAAATAATAATTGCTCCATGTCGGGATGATGCCGTGAGCGGAGCTGGAGACACGGCAAATGTTCAGAGGCTGTGGAGCTTGGTCGAGAGCCGGGAGCACAGAAGACCATGGAAGCGGTCGAATGCATGAAGGCACGTTGTGACCGCCCTGGTAGGCTGTCGCACATGACTGAGGCTGCAGGGTTGCGTGAGCCGTGGAGATGAGCTGGTCTCTGAGAACTTGCGGCTCCGCACGGAGTCTGCAGCTATCGAGGAAGCGGAGGACGGCGGTGCTGGAGGTGTGCAAGAGGCGTTGGCTTTTGCGGAGTGGCTCCACTGCGAGCTGCTCGGCATCATCTCTGCAGCAATTTTTGGCTCGGGGCACCCCAGAAGCTTCTGGACCATGACAGTGGGTACCAGGTCCGTATCTTGAACTTGCCATGTGCGTGACGTGCAAAAACACAGCTTGCAATGCCGTGCTGAGTGTTGCCAGCCAGCTCCAGCTGGGATCCCTTGGGGCTAGCCGAATTGCGAGCGATCGGTCAGGCGCGAGACACGGTCCCGCTCGCCCCGCCAGGCTCGGTGCCATTCTTGCACTATCCAAGCGACTCAGAGGTGTACATTACGGCCGTGCTCAGGGCAACAGATATGGCAACGACAGCAGGCACACTGAGGATGAGAGTCTCAAGCGCCAATGCCGCTGCTGGACTGCAGTAGAAGTACATTTTCAGCTCATGGCAGGAGTCAAAGCATATTCCCAGGATTCTGTGGTGCCACGGCTGTGTGCGAGTTTGGTCGGGACGAGGAGTTTTGCAGCAGTCCGGGCCTTCAACACGAGTGTTTGGTCCCATCCTCCTGCAGCTTGCTCAGGTGGCTGCTACATAGACGCAAGTGGCATGGCTGTAGTTGTGCATCTAAGCTGAGAAACTTAGAAAACATGTCTTGCTCTGAGGCAAAGGAGTGGAGGCCTTGGATTGGGATGGCTCTGAAGCTGCCTCGTGGCTACACGTGGAGGCAACGCCATTCACATTTCCATTTACACTTAGCTAGTCTGGTTGCCATCAGGCACATTCACTTGAACGCACTTATCTCATATCCCAGCTGCAAGACAACAATGCCTGTCCTGAATGTTGGCACACAGGGCCTTGACCGATGGAAGCGCCAGCTTGTCTCAGTTCTTCGGGATGGTCACGCGCTCCTCACTACGCTCAACGAAGGCCCGCCTACCTTTTGCTGTTTGCTGCCAGGATGAAATTCAAACAAGCTCTGCAGGTGTGCTTCGCAGAGTTGGAGTTCCAAAGAGGAAGGCCAAGGAAGTTATGCAACTTGGATAGCATGAATAGCAACAAAGCGCCCTCAAGTTTCAGGACCAACTTCCCGCTGAAGGTCTTAGCTTTTCACATCCAAGAGTCTAAGGGCTTGCTTCAATCTATCGGCTGTACAGGACGTAGATTGATGCGTTGCTGTTTGACATGTTTTCTAGCAGGTAAAATGGTGGGAGTGGCTTGAGCCGTGAGCATAGACAGATCCCTTACCCGAGAGGGAGCCCAAAGTCGTGATATTTGCGTCGCGTTTTCTAGTTCCATGTTCACTCTTGAGCGCTCGCACACTGTGCTAGAAGCATAATGCTATAGACGAGCAAAATTAGGTGATTAAACCATGGTCGTGCCCGCGGGCGTGGCGAACACGGCAGCAGCCATGTCACGCACTCCACTGTCTAAAGCGACTCAATGAATATTATCGGGGAGACGGTAATCAATCCTGAATTCAATACCTTTCGCTGAGCCGCTGTGCTCAGCACGTTACCACCCACTGACAGCACGCATGAAAAGCGGAGCCTCCGCCTACGGCGGCGCCTGCAGGTACCCTGATCCTTGCCAGCAAGGAAGCTCCGGCACCCTTATGGTATGAAAAGTATGCATATACGGACATTTTAAATTTTCACGCATCGCCTTCACCCTCGTTTCAAGATAGCATACATTCCAAGCCAACCGCAGGGCTTAGTTTCTCTACAAACCCTTTTCGTTGTGGAGCGCCGGCATACGCTGTGTCCCTTTCTCAAAACCTTGACCAGCACTAGGTCATCAGGGAAGGTAGTTTACATATATAGGTTGTTTGTAGAGCTGTGGCCTCCAGAACAGGGCGGCCGAGAGACAGCTGGCAGATGAATGAACATGAAGCTACAAGCGAATATTGAAACGTGACGGACGATCACCCCCGCTGACTGCCACCATCAACCTTCGTGTAGCCTGACATGGCGCAGAGCTTTCGGCGGAATACCGCCGTGGCTCGAAAGCAGCTTCCCTGAACTTACCGTATTGCACGACCCACTGGGTAGAGACGATGCAGACAAGGCAAGCCCGGCCGGTAGTACTGACAAGCAGTCGCGCAAGGTAGTTGCAGCTGCAGCTGGCATCAGCCGTCAATAGTCAAATAACTTGTAAGGACGAACTAGCTGGCGGGCAATGCACAGGGTACGCGGGAGTAGCTGGCTTATTCCCGCAACCCTTCCTTCATCTCACGACATTGGCTGCCTCACTTGTCAGCTAAGCACTAGAAAGCCGGGGCCATCCGGGGCACTTAACTCATTGATACATACTTGTTGTATGGACAGAGGGGTCTTAGATGCCTGGCGCTGGAAATCTTGCCTGTAGAAGCAGGGAGACAAGGACCTTACATTCTTTGCAAGCATCACTTGCCACTTGGCTTAATGAGGCCAGGTTAGGTTAAGACCCTCTACCGCCCTCCTGTCCGGAAAGAAAGGGTCCTGGGAAGAGGAGTGCAACCTGCGGGGATATGAGGAGTAATTCCATATTGGCCCTTGAAAGGGCATTTGAGCGCAAGCTGCAAGCGCCAAGAGAAGTTCTTCCTGTCCTCCTCTGGAGAGTCGATGCACATGGTTGATGTCAACCACTCCATATTTTTCTTCAGCAAGGGCGGCTAGCAACAACCAGATTCCAAGCAAGTCAGCCTGAGATCCATTAGAAGCCTAGCTGCAGCTGCCCGACTCGAAGGGAAGAGCGCATCCTTGGCCTGCTCATGATTTTGTTGCCAAGACCTGCTTATGATTCTCATCGTGGCATTTCCCGCTTACAGCTCTATTCTGATGATTGACACCGTCTTTCTGACGAGCTATTGACATACACACTGCTTAGCATACAAAGCGATGCTCATTTCCCCAGAAGCCTGCAGGCACACCCCCGATGTACGACGGCGGAATCCTGTATGGTTAAAGCAGCCAACAGGATAGACTCGTTCTGGACCAAGCCCGCCTACAGCAAAGCGCTTTTCCGATGTTGTCTTGTGTGACGAGCGTCCATCGTGATTACACAAGCACACTGCAGGGTGTAAGCGGGCCAGAACTTGAAGCAGCAAAGCTCAAACTAAAGGCAAATCATCTCATGAGCTGCTTTTGCCAAAGCTGCTTCCAGGCACGACGTGGAGGAACTGCGACGTGGAGCTTGGGCACAGCCGGAGCCGCCGAGGGAGGCTCAGACGTCGGTTTTCCTCGAAATGCTCACTGGAAGCAAACATGCGGTGGCGAGGCCGTATAGGCCTGCGCCTAAGAGGTAGTCATCAGAGATAGGCGGCTGAGAGATTGACAGGTGTGGAGTTTGTGTAGTGCAGGGATGCAGGGTTTGTTTTTTGGTCAGTCGGGCCTAGCACCGCTATCAATTGCTGAAATGTGCTGCTGCCAATCTTGCAAATTGAGATGCTTTTTGATCTGGCCCTCTGCAGCAGGAAGTGCCGCTGCCAACTGTTGCTGAACTGGGAAGCAAGGTGCGTGAAGGCGGCTGCCAATCACAGCAGAAGCATTGCTTCACGAATCAGTAGCAAGAATCCCCGTTCGGTGGGAGGTAAGGCCGGGTTGGGAATGTTGCCAGGATGGCATCACTTACTCAAGGACGATGCGCTTCGTCCCCCGCCTGCAGCCATGGGGTGCTCTGGCAGTTTGTGCTGTTTCTTCGTCAAGCTCTCTCCTCATGCTTAGGCTCATACGCCTCCATGTGCCGAAATGCTGTGCCTCAGGCCCAATGACAACGCCAGGTAAGCTTGTTTCGGAAGCTAAAGGCGAAATGTCTTGGACGTCTTTCAGAAGCAGCTGTTCTTACAACGGGCTTCAGGGCAGCAGGGAGTTGTTGAGTTTGTCAGCAGCTTGATCTGATAGCCCACTGTAACCTGCAGCGGCATTTGGCTCAAATTGGATCCCACATGAGGACCTGAAAGATTACCTCAGCGCCCGTTAGCACTTCGATCGTGAAACTGCATGCCAGTTTGCGCATTGCTGCTGCCAGACGCTACTATCATACAGGGCCCGCGTACCAAATAATGTGGGCACGTCTTGAACTCGCCTGGGGACATCGACATATGCCGACACGATGCGGACAACTATCCCAAAGTTACGGATATGCCTGGTACACGGCACGGGCCCTGAAGAAAAGTGGCCTGGATTGTGCAAGCTGCCGCCTCCGGGGCCCTCAAGTTGGTGGCTCTTCAGAACATGAGGCTATTAAACTGAAAGGCCAGATGTCAAGTAATTACATCCACACCTATCGCATATTTAACTCGATGCCATCAGCTATCACCACCTCTTTTCTCCAAATTCGGAGCCCGCAAGGGCCATGATTGCAACCCTAGACCTGGCCCACCCCTAGACGCATCAACCGGGCTTGCTTCCAGCAGGCTGTGGTCATGGTGGGGGCACGGACACCTTTCTTGTTTGCTGCCCCGGCATGGGTGACATGCGCAAAAAGTTGGGACGAAAGAGGTTGCAAACAACCATGATCATGAATCAGTGAAGCAGCTCTGAGGGCAGCAAGCGTCGAGCAACTGACAGAGTTTGGAGTTGCCATTGCTTACTATTGCATGGATGCCTTAAGAATTACTCTAAAACGCTTATTGAACAATTTTCCCCATGCCCCGATTTGGCCTCATGGCTGAGCAGAATTGGCCTGCAAAATAGCGCGTGTGAGGTAGGTTGCGCCTTGAACTGACTAGCTTTGGCTTGGAGAACCTCCCGGAACATTTACAGGACCTGGCGTGGCGTTGGTTTCAGCAGCTCCGTTCACAGCTCCCGTGGCAGGACAGTCAGGGCACCGGGCCACTTAGACACCTTTTGGCTGGTTTGCCGTGCTTCAGGTTGCGAGACGGAAGCATTTTGGATATTTTATTCATGCTCTTCAAGTTCATATGATCGCAGCAAAATGGATTTGGTAGGCCACACAAGTAGTGGACGACTGCCTAACTTTTGGAATCACCTGGGCCGCAGGATCTCTGCGACGAGCGCTACCAGGGGGAGGGCAAGCACATCCCTCGCCGCACAATCTTTACCGTTTTCAACGGATGCAATTGCATTTACAAGTATTCAGGAGCAATTGGTAATAGCAGCGCATCGCAGTTGGAAATCGAGATTTGTTTGGTTGAGGAGTCGCCGTGCAGCCCACCATCGAGCCGGATTTCGTTGCTGAAATCCGCAAATTGACTAGATTTTGGCGACGTTGCGGTATGCGAGTCTCTCTGTGCCGTGTACAGTAGATGTAGATGGAGTTCTGTCGTGCGTTATGCTGAAACCCTGGGGGAATTCCTGCAGCAGCCTTTTTCAGCGATGTTGCAAGTTGCATTGGCTTGCACAGTACAGAGCACGAAACTGCCAGGCAAGTACTGCGTGGCCGTTTCTGGTTTGACGACGCAGCCAAATTGCTGCAACATCAATCTGTACAGACACTTCTTTGCATTTGATTTATGCAGTGGGTTTACGTCGCACAATCCAGACAGAGCGTGCCCTGCTGCTGCAGGAGATGGGCGGGACTCAGTCGGCTGGCACACGGATGATGAGGAAAGAGCTTTACAAACAGCAGACAGCGTTAGGAGGCAAGAGGGTCACAGGCCATTGGAGAGAGACCATTAGACAAAGCAAGACCCCATCGTAAAGTCCCAAGCGCTCCTCTAGAATCAGGGCAGCGACATCTTCCAAGACTGCCCCGCTTAAAAGCTGGATGTCGACGTGCAGGAGCTCTTTGAAGGGGCCTACAATGATATCACTATTCTAAGCTTGTCGCTTGGTGCGACCCGGACCTTCGAGGCCAGTCCTCTTGCTTTTCGGGCTTGGAGCCTCGTGATGCAAGCAAGGTGAAGAAGCAACCAGGCCCAGCTGCCAGGGGCAAAAGCCACAAAGGGCCTGCTGAAGCTTCGTTTGAAGTCCGGCATCTTGACTCAACCTACTTCCCAAGAGCCAGTATATTTGCGCATTGTACATGAAGCTTGCCAGGTGTATTCGCATCATATGTAGCAGCACCGGCATGATGAAGCTTACAAGTTCCGGGCGGCAGAAAATTCTTCAGGATGTGTCAAGCTTTCAGGGCACCTCTTCTGACAGGCATGGCGACATTTGCACCATGGAGGGAATGTTCCAGAGATGCTTGGCACGCATGCAGCCCTGGAGTCTGGCTGGCTAGCAAAAATTGTGCTTCCTGAAGCTGTACTTCAGCGAGCTGTTAAGGCGATCTCCTTGTATCTCTTCCTGCTTGATCCTGACTAGTGCACCAAATCCCCAATCCCTCAGAACAGATGTCTTAAAGCACTTACCTGAGGGCACTACCTCCATGCAGTGCCCAAGGAGCTGTGTACAGATCATTTCCCTTACGGATCTGGAAGCGAGCATTCCAGTGGTGCTTACTCTTGTTGTGGTTACATATTTCATCATGGTTCAGGCTTCGTATGTGAATCCAACGGTGTACGAACCATCACGAATCCTTTTTTGATATTCCGTGGTGCATGCTGGGTTTTGCTGCAAATGCTCTTAAGTGCTCAGCAATGCATGCTGCGTGAGTCAACAGATGAACAGACAGGAGCCATTGGTGAGACAGCCGCGAATCAACTTGACCTGGCGCTGCTCTGCCAGGTTGTTTCCAACAGCTTTTTCAAGATTAAACCTATGATTCAAGGACTTGCCTACCCAGATGTATCCTAACTCCCCCAAGCAAGCCCAGGCTGGATCACCAAGCACAACCAGACCGATGGCTGTACATTGTGTGGACCTGGCAACCAGAGAGGTCCTTTGAGGCCAACCATTTGCTGAGCCTGAACCCTCAAGGTGCCCGTGCAAAACACCCCGATCTTTTCGAGCTTGAATTCACCGTCAGCAGGGCCTGCCCCTGCTGGCCATGTTGCAGCCTGCAATCTGCAGTTTCGCATCTTGCGCATGGCCTTCATATCGCACACCTATGCTGTGCCTCCTTGAAGATCCAGCCAAGATGTTTCAAGTGGAGCTTGAGGGCTAGCAGGTGGCTCCAATGCAGCCATCGCCGGCCTTCACTGCATAAAACCTAGGATTTGGGATAGCGCCCACCTCCAAGATATCTATATATTGTTGTTTGTCCTGCGCGGCTCCACTTAGATTCTCCCAAACCGATTGCCCTGCTGAGAGTCCTGCACAGGCCACTTACCTTCAATGCACGGTTCCTATTTATCTGCAGGGCTCTACACCTGTCATATGCTGACGGAACCATGTGAGCGCAGCTTGCCAGGAGGGCAAAAAGAATTGATGGGTGTTACGCGCACCTCAACAGGGTAAATTCGCAGTCAAAGAAGGCCTAAAGTTTATTCTGGTGGGTCGGGAAAGAAATGCCTTTGAACATCAATGAAACTGGCTTGACGTAGATATTAAGCGTGATGAACGCGCTAAAAGATGGGGCATCGCTGTGCTTGCCCGCTGTGATGACTGGAACTGAGCCACAGCAGGAGCGCACTCGTTCAGAGCTTCAGCGGTTCCTTGCTTCGGAAAGCCAACAGCTGCTGGCAGCTGGGCAGCGGTGCAGGCTGCCTCTCTTGAAAGCTTCTTGCCAGATTCGCGGAGATTTGCTCACGCCAGGCAGCTGTGGCTTGACGGTCTGCCGCGCACTCACAGTCTCCCTACTCCAGCACGCGTGCAGACTAGAGACGAGCCACCATGTTACATCATGTATTTTAGATTTATCAGTTTGCATTCCCGGAGGCCTGCAGCAGAGCCTTCACGACATGTCAGCGTCCTGGAAGTTTCATGAAACAACCCACAGTGGAAGAGCAACAAGCACAGAGTGCATGGCCAGATGTTTTGACGTATGCGCTAGAACTCCCAGGACGCCTTTGTGGAAGGTGCCAGTGCGCGGCAGCTGTGTGCATTCCAATGTGTTTGGACTTGCCGCCTCGACGCGACGTGTTGCAACTTTGAAGAGGTGTCGACTATGAAACACGCCTGCAAACCCTGCGCGAGGCAGGTTGCTTGCGCGTTATCAATGTTGAGCTGGCATATCGGCGTATCATCTATATCCTATCAGCATACATGTGCAGAAAGGGCCGCTTTGGCGTTGTGTAGCGTTAGCCTTTCGACATCTTATTGTGGTGTCGGAGTTGTTGCTTTGCTTGTAGCATGTTTTGTATTCTTTGCTGCAGGCTGCAGACCGCATATCCTGTTCGAATGGTGTGAGCAGGACTGAACAAGGGAAGCCTTACTCTGCATTAGCGCAAAACAGGCTCTCTCTCGCAGTGCTCAGAGCTCAGGAGTTCAAGCCAAAGATGAGGATAGAGTTTGCCAAGTGGCAGACACCGGAAACAGCTTGGCACGAATCCTCGGTGCACCTAAAGGTCTGCTGGCAGAGTTCTGTCCGAACCCCGAAGCAAAAGATTCCATCGGCACAGTGTTGCTTGGAATTAGGAATTAGGAGCTACATCGGCCGGAGAAGGCAAATCTGTGACTAGCGCTCGTGTCCCCAACGATCAAACTGTCCGAAGATGCATGTGAAAGTGGAAATCCTTGTGCTCCAACTGGACGGCAGCAGCCGTGGCTACCCACACTTCCGCACACACTTTAGCATGATATTTGCCTCACGATGTCAAAAAGGCTTTTCATATCAGAAGGCAGGACTGCAAAGGCAAGAGCTCACATGCATGCACTGACCGCGCTTGATGTTGCGCCAAGCTGATGGGCTTTCTCCAGGATGCGGAGGACAGCCCAGCTAGCTTACTGATTCTCAGGTGTCTCTTGTTCCTTTGCAACTCCCCGAGGCGGCCTTAGCTGCAGAGAACTGGCACAATGCGGCAGAGAATCTTGGAAGAATCGAATCCAATGCCTGTTCAAAGCAGAGGCGGAGAGCAAAACAACGGTACAGGGTGGGCAAAATTCGAGTTCATACGTGAAGTGTGTCAAAGCTGCACCTGCGCGTCGAGCTTTTCTGGACCAGTTCTTGAATCCGAGGCTCTTCAGCAAAGCAATCACCGAACTGCGTGAGAACCTGTTAGCAGGCGTGATAGGCAGCTGGTCCAAAAGCAAGCAAACCAAGCGCCTTGCAAGTCGCAGGCCAACCGCACTTGCCAAGTCTGGTGGCAGCCTACGGCGGCCGTGGCCAGGCGCTAGCGGAGATGGGGCGCAGAAGCTCAGTTCTCAGACCAAGCCTTGGCTGTGACTTGCCTTTGACTGAGCATGGCTCAGGAGGCCCTGCAGGGAGGCCGGGGTGGGGGTGAATGTTGCCTGATCGGCTGAGTTTGAATCAGAGACACTCTGCCGAAGTAAGCGCAAGAAGTGACAGTGCCACACACTTCCCGGCTGCGGCTCAGCAATTTACCAGATATAGCGCTCAATGAAGGTTCCTGCCACACCAACATGCAAGATCTCCCAAGCAAAGTCATATGGCGGTTAGATCTTGACACGCGGCGTGGCTCTTTCAAGCACAGCCAACTAGATGAAACTGCTGACCACAACGGCGAGGCATTTCTCCACAGTCCTAAGCTCTAAGCAGCACGAAAGCCTGCAATCAGCGACACGGCATGTCCCAGTCACTTCCGCTCGGTCACCCACTCCCCTACAACTCCAGCTTTGCTTCGACGTTGGTACCAGCCAGAGGGTGGCCAAGCCATGGGCGTCCAGCAATATGTTGGACTTCAAGCCAGGGAGCCTTTTCAGCGAGAAATGCTTGGTTTGTCACGGATTCTGGACCTGCTGATGTGGGTGGGGGCTTCTTCCCGCACAGCAACACATCGCCTCCTGGAGGGCCTGGCAAGCCAAGACCAAGTTTGCGAAGTCTACACGCCAATTTTGTCCGTGCTGAGACTCAGAAGTCTAAGATCATCCATTTGGCCTGGAAACTTTGTCACGGAAAAAAAATGCATGATGATATCCTCAGGTGGCAGAGTGTCATGCTCCCAATCTGGGTCAAGTGGTGCTAACTGTCATCCATTCCTGTTTTTGCTTTGAGGCTTCCAGCACAAGAACCAACACTCAAGGCAGCCCTGGCGGATGCCCGCGCTGCAGCCGCTGGCTGAGTCAAACCCTTGAAGCTTGGGCCGCTATGACATTTGCAAGACCGAGCCTTGGAGTTCTTGAGGCCGGCATAGCCGTGCGCTGCAAAGATGCTTCTTGCTCTGCTGGACCCTAAGCAGCTCATGCCGAGGAGACCTTGTACCCCTGTTGGCTTTGAGGTGAGGGCCGTCAGGGTGCTGCGAACGGTCCTGCAAGAAACAGGCACGGCACACCTACCTGTTACTTAAGGACTTATGCCTTTTCTGTCCAAATCGGTCCGAAGCATCCATAAAGCGGAGGAGAGTGGGAGATTGGCTTCCATGGTTTTCTTTGTCCTATGGTTGCTGTGGTTTCCATCATGGTCTTCATGGTTTCCATGTTTTTATGCTTGGACAAATCGGGCGAGCCTTGGATTACGATGACGAACCCTCGACAAACGATCGGATCATAATTTCAATCATGACACTGCAAACCCTTGGACAGATGCGTCGATCCATAGACGAGTGGGCCTAGGCTATGGGGCGATCATAAGTCAAAGTCGGAAACAGTCCCAAGTCTTGGATGAATGGGGCGACTATAAATCAAAATCTGGACTCCTCAAACCTTTTGACAAATGGGGCGAGCCTGGGACAAGTGGAACGAAGCCTGGACGAATGGGGAGAACATAGCAAATCAGGACTCCCCAAACCGTTGACGCATTGAGAGAACCTTGGACAAGTGGAGCGAACCAGATGCCAATCTGTGTTGCAAAATGAGCCCTTGTCTACGGAATCCACCGGAAAAAGTCTCCCCCATCTTGCTGCGAAAGCTGACGTTGTGTCTGAAGGGCACGACTGGCTGAACTTACAGACCATGCAGCAGAGCTGTGAGGCAGCTGCTATCACCAAGCTTTCGTCCTGAATCATCTCTATCGGTCAAATCACTTTGAAGGCAGCGCTTGCGCACACATGAAATCTACCAGAGGCACATTCAGAAGGGATGTTTGAGCTCACAATCCCAGCGTGACCCGAATCCATTTGCAGCAAATTCAGCTGCGACGCAGAGTGGCCGACACACACCTTTGGCAGCGCAGCTTGAACTCTTGAGTGCAGGTTGTCATGGCCCGTGCACCAGGGACGCACAGCGTTCTAGAGAGCTGCCAGAGGTTGAGGTCATGTGGCATATGGACACCATGATCTTGGGTCCAGATTGAGTTGTCATCTAATGCCTCATCTTTGCGGCCGGGTCTGGCTTCACTGGGCATTCTGACGGGGTGGCGAGGGTGTGCCTTTCAAGTGTGGGGAGTTTGCCTTCGCCTCGCGGTTGACATTGGCTTTGTGTATGGGATCGGGCTGATCGGGCGTATTCATCTTCTCTGGACGGACAGGACGGCCTCATGCCAGGGAATCCTGGCAGCCGTGGCTTGAAGTTGTCTTAAACTTGTAAGTTGTAAGTGACTTAAGTGTGTACTCTGTGGACGGTGAGTGGTGTCCAACCTTTTCTTATCTCGCATTTCGGTGTTCAATTTTCCTTCTGCTGCTCCAGCTATGTCGGGTGCCCACTTCAGGATTTTGTTCATTGATCGCAGGCCCAATGCTACACGTGGAGCATCTCAAGAAGCCAAGTAAGTTTGTAAGTCAGGAATGCATCACTGCTGCATTCGGCGCTGCATGGCGAATAACTGAGTCCGCTTCCATATTCTGACAAACTTTCGGAGAAATCCTGGCAGGTCACAGTCTGGAGGAGGCGCAGATGGCAGCCAAAGCGCTCCTAGGCAAGAGGGCAAGGGAGGGATGAAGTTTGGCAAAGGTGCAATCATGTGCAATGAGTTTATGGATCGTTTTCTCTCCGCCTTGTAGTGTAGCCTGTAATGTGGTGTTTCTGATGACAAGAATTGGCTGATATTGGCTGCAAGTTGTCTGCGGCCAGTCCAACCAGTCAGCCATGCCATTCTGCCGCTTAGATGGGCCAGCTCCGAGACTTTCGGGCAAGCAACATCAAGAACTTCAGCAACTCGCTTGAAGTTGCAAAACCACGCAGCCCTTCGCATAGTTACACACTCAGCCCAAATGGGCACAGGCAAGCAAGCAAGCCCTTTGTAGCATGGCTTGAGGCAAATTGCGCAGAACATGGACACTCGCCTGCGGCGAACTAAGGTCTGCAGTGTGCGGCATGCCGCGATAGGACGCGGCAGGTGCGTGACCGGAGCAGCAGAGCAACACGTGTTCACCAAGGCTTTGTGCAGAGATGGATGCCGCTGCTGATGACGGATGGTCTCCAGGCCGCGTGGCGCAATCTTGGTCTTGTGTAAGATGGCAAGCGCCAGAGGCACATTTCGTTGGCCGGCACGCTTGACGTTGTGAAGGTCTGAGAGTCATGTTCGTGCATTTGTGCAGGCTGAGTGTAGCAGTAAAGGCTTCTGCTGCAGTCCTACCATAGCCCTGAGCATGCTTTAGAAGCAGTCCGCGCTTTGTAACAATTCACGTTCACAGTTGAGACCGCGGTGCACGTGGGGAGCCCCCCAAGCCAAGGCCCAAGTTACCGGCTGGAAGTCCTCCGGATCTTACAGAAAAAGGCCGGAACTGATCACTCATACATTGCTTCAAGCAAAAAATATTTCAAATCCTCTTTCTTGCAGGGGCGGGGCGTTCTCAAATCACGAACAGCTAAGGCTGGGGCCCGTACTTGTCGAAGCCTGAGCTGGAAATCAAAGGCACGAGTTACACCTTCCCCCTTTCTTTAAATTTGCCTGCTGCTGAGCTTGAGGCGTCTGCGTGGCGGTGAGGAGATGGTGAAAGAAGCTCGGACCAATGCCCGGAGCCAAACACTTCAATGCTTCTTTCTGAAGGTGCCTCTCGCTGGCCCTAGTGACTTAGGCCATTATGCTGGATGCGCTATCATTTCCTTTATCAGTGGCGGACCTCTCAGTTGCATGGAACGCTGCTGCCAGGACAGAGTTTGCAGCGTTAGAGCAAAATCAAAACGCAAAAGATCAGAGTTCAAGGGCACACTCGGTGATGGCAGTGAAGGGATGTGGAGGGTAAGACAAACTGATAGGTCAAATAATGCTTGCAGTTGTGAAGGAACTCTCCATTAGCCAAGGCTTTTTCCAAGATGCGGAAAGCAGCAGAAGAGTTATAGTATTAAGCGTCATTTTAGGGTTTGATCAGATGACGAGAATCGAGCGCTTACAAGTGCAAGTGTTCGCAAAGTCTCCCAGCGTGCTGACCCCTGGCCCCACAGGGCAAGTTGGGGATGCAGCGATGGAGCACGACGAGTCAGAAACATTTGCTCCTGCTGGCAAG